ATGTACTATCAAAATATGTGATATAATTTCGTGGGTAACACAACAATGGAAAATTATATCACATTACAATGCGTTGGGCGTGCCATTTTCTATCGCCTAGTCGAAGAATTTTATTACTACTACTACTCATTCAGTGATTGGAGTGGCATTAAAAATAAACTAGCTAAACCGTTGATACTGGGCGAATGAGAGTTAGAACTAACATCCAAAGGCGTGTCTCTATCCCATGTAGCGCCCTCTAGTGAGTGCGCGGTCAAAATGGAATATTCACAATGTAGCAGATTCATTGAAAGTTAGCCCACTGAGTTTCTCGCCAGAACTTATTTTATTGTTGTTTTAATATTAAATTATTATTGTTGATTTATAATTGCATAAGTTGATAAAAAATGCTATGCAATAGCGTAGATGCGGTAAACCGCGGCAGTCTCCGAGTGCCACACGTCTTTTTTTTTATTATTATTTCTAAGTACCGAGATTACATCACAGTTAAAGAAAAGGTAATTTTATTATCATCAAATCATTATTTAAAAATTCTGAAATCCTGTCCGAAAGCAAAAGATTTTAACTAGGAAAAGTAATATAGCACCCAGAACCGTGTCACTTATTTTAAAATATGACCTAAGGCCGCTACATACGTGACTGGTTTTTATATGTAGGTACGGGACGTGAACGGAACGGGGACGTGACTGCCTCGTTCAAAACGCACCGTGACAGTGACTCGGATCTAACGTGCTAGTGTTGTGAACAAGGAAAGATGGATTTTTCATTTCAAGAATTGGCTTTAATTGCTATTGCTCCAGATGACGAAGGAGAAAAGGACGAACAAGAAAAGGAGATTTTCTGTACATCCTACATGGCAGAATAGAATTATATATTATTCTATAATTAAATTATATAATGCTGGATTTGACCGTACACATTCGATTAGTTTTTCGTCATCCATTTTCGACACTTGCATAACAAGACGTCACTAGTTCTCTCTCCGGAACGAACGGAGTGACTGTGCATACCACGGAATAGATAAATAAGGTATTATTTATCTATTCCGTGGTGCATACGTAGCGGAAACACGTCCCGTCCGTGTCTCCGTGAAATATGCTCTTTCATATACATTTTGTATGAAACGATGTTTGCAAAACTTCCCGTCTCGTCCCGTCCGTATAAAAACCCGTCACATATGCATCGGCCTTAAGTCTACGGGCACGAAATTTGCGATGGCTGAGCGATGGCGGCAACGGGGCGACGCGACACGGAGCGGGTAGGCAGCGATATCTCGCGCGGGCACGAAACAAGCTGGCGGGCAGTCGCGCTTGAGCAGTGTTGTGCGAATCATGAGTTTACGTCGAAGAGAACTATTGGAGCCTAGTCTCCTATTGAGAGAATTATTATTACCTAGAGATGGTGTTCATCCAATAAATCAACGAAGACGCAATTTGGGAGAATTTTCTACGCTTTATTACGAGCTAAGGTGTCATTCAATGAAATTTTAAATTCCTTGTTAAATTATAAATTCCTCATTATCAATTTCCATTACTAAAATAATAACTGAACACAACACTGTGTACCCGCGCAAGCGACGAAACCAAAGTAGTTTGTTCTCGTCGCTTCCGCGTCGCCGTCGCCCCATCATCGCCCGTACATCGCTCGATCGCCCCGCTCCGCCATCGCCCGTTTCGTGCCCGTCCCCATACTGTGCAATGCTTTTGTATACATCGCCGTCGCGCCGCTGTCGCCATCGCTCGGCCATCGCAAGTTTCGTGTCCGTAGACTTAGACTTGAGAGTGATTTCATATAAGAGTCATATCAAGCAGTTTAAAAATAAATACGATTTTAAAATTAAAACAAGCTCCAGGTAGCGCCCAAAAATTCACGATTAGAGATGCATAATCGCCAATAAATAAGCCAGGGAATTATTGGGATATTTACGAAACATGTTAGATTAGACATAAAAAAATTACTTCACAAATAAAGCCAAGGCACAAATTTAATTAGTTAAAATGAAACTGGTTAGATAATTTAGTAATAATTTACATCTCTGTAATACAAATTTGTAAATACACATACGAGAAAAGGCCACACCGAAAGGAAGAAGCGCCTTTAATATTAAAACAAACCTAAAACTTTGATAAACTAGCTTACAGACCATCTGATGTTAAGGAGCTACCGGAGCCCCTAGACATTTTTTTCTACCTATTCGTTGGTAGCCTGAGGAACTATTCCAGCTAGGCGCGGACGCGTTGGTGGGCTCACGGGCTCAATTTGAGAGAATTTGCTAACACTAGCCCTAGCAAGAGCACTGCGACATATTCCTACTCGAGTGCTTGTGCGGTATCATCAGCAAAAAGAGCTTACTGGGCTGCCAGTGACCGGGGTATGTCGTTCTTAAAAATGCTGGACAGTAATGGGGAAAGAGCAGAGCCTTGCGGGATTCCAGCTGAGATTTGTCGCGGGAGAGAAAGAGTTCCTTGAACTTGATACCAAAACGAACAGCTCGACAAGGTTTCGTATGATGAGCACGAGAATATCTGGCACTTCCATGATTAACAATTTATAAATTAAACCGTTACGCCAGACATTGCCGAACGCCTACACGATATTGAGGATGAGGACTCCCGTGGGGACGGGTATCTATTTTGTGAGTCGGTGCACGACAGTTTCGCGCGGAATTCGAACTTTTCATTGATCAGGATGCCTTTCGAGCGTAATAGCCGTTCGTAAAATTTGCCTAACGCTTGGAGGAGGCTGATCGGGCGATAGCTCGCGGTTTTGTTTTGAGGTATTCCATGTTTGTGTATGCCGATGACGTCTGCCTCTTTCCACACCACGGCAACGATGCTATTCGTCGTAACGGCATTTCTATTTAGGCGGGTAAAATTTTAAAACGCGGTTAAAAATGCCGTCAGAGCTGGGTGATTTCCGTGGTTGCATGGAGATAATAGTGTCAATACCGCCGCCACCCTCTTTCAAAATAAAAATCAAATTTTATTTATTCAACATAAATGAAAGTACACACTTGTTGAACGTCAAAAAGAAATACCACTAATTCACAAAAACTAGCCTCCGTCCTGAGAAGAACTGGCAAGAAACTCAGCGCATGTCTTTTTTTTTTAATATTAGATTTTTTTTAATATTCGTTTTTACAAGGTGTATTATAACGTAAGAATTATTGCAATATTAAATGCCCGGAGCGAGCAACTCATTCTCACTTTGTGCAATCTTCTAGATAATCATTGACTTTATAGTAAGCTTTATTGCACGGATGTTCTTTAATAGTTTTCTTAAACCTATGTATATTATTATGTAGGTTATGAACATCTTGTGGGATTTTGTTGTAGAGGCGCACAGACAAACACCCGAATGAATTTCGTATCTTAAGTAACCTACTCATCGGCACAACAAGCTTGTGTTTGTTCCTGGTATTTCTATTATGTAAGTCAGACTTTTTAGGAAACTCCTCAATATATTTACTAACATACATAATATTTTCAAAAATGTACTAGGATAACATAGTAGGAACTTTAATTTCTTTAAATTTTTCCCCAGGGATTCCCTTGAGAGCATGTTATAAATAACACGTACCTGTAGCTCTTTTCTGCAGAATAAATATCATTTCTACATCGGCCGCATTGCCCCACAGCAAAATTCCATAGGACAAGACACTGTGAAAGTAACTAAAATAAACTAAACGAGCCGTGTCCGCGTTTGTTAACATTCTAATTTTTTTTATTGCGTGTGCTGCAGAGCTAAGCTTACTCGCTAATTTATGAATATGTTGCAGTGCATGTGATGAATATAATGCACTGCAGTTTGGAGTCCACTGTTATACCAAGAAATACAGTTGATTCAACAAGCTCCAATGATTCCTCAGAAACAATTACATTACTATCTATTTGTCTCGCATTAAAAGACGATTTATTCATTTTAAAGTAAATTTAATACATTAGTTTTCTTACCATTCATAGATTATTGATACGGAACCAATGAACCACACACGAAATCGCATCATTCACTTCGTCATAGACCTGCAACTGTCGTTTAATTTTAAATAATAAAGATGTATCATCTGCGAGTAATACGACCTCATGTCGGGACTCAATAAAACTAGGTAAGTTGTTTATATACATTAGAAATAAAAAAGGACCCAAGATGGAACCCTGAGGTACACCCATTTTCAACACGGTGCCTGAAGATCCTTTACATCAACTGTTTGTATCCTTCCCGTTCCCGTTTGAAACATGAGGTCGAATTTTCAGTTAATGATTGTCCATAATCCATCTGTTTATAATCATGTAACATTTCCGAACAGAGCATCATATGAGGAATGTATCAGTATGATTCAAACTATTTAGAAAAAAAAATTGAATGCATCTTAAGAGTAAAATTAAAACCATTATAATGGTACATAGTGCTACCGAAGATCTTAATTATCGGCTATCATGAATGATGACAGAAAAAGCTATTTTCATTAAATAGAAAAATCAATTATATCATAAAACTGGCTGAATAAAAAACGTTTTTATAAAACTTTCATTTTTTCATAAAATACAAGTTATGAATTTTTTTATGTACATATAGTGTAAAACATGTGTAATAATAACGTAATAAACTTGATTACATGTACCCTAAATCCCTTTACTCCTTTTTTATTTTACAAAAAAGCAGATCTATCAACTGTCAGAAATGTCATTAGGATCGAGTGTCATGTCATTGTCTGTTTATTGAACTGTCAACATTGCGTGTTTCTGCTTGATGTTGGTTGATGTAATAGTACATACAGTGTTAGTGAATATAGCGGTTTTTTACTGCATGATGCGATATATACAAGTAATAATTTTCAGTATTAGTCCACCCGCACACGACCGATATAGTATATACAAAACGAGTAGAAATAATAATATAAGGAATTCTTCTATTATTTTTGTGATGTTATGAAATGGATTTATTAGTGATGCGTGAGCAACTTGGACAATAATCAAGCCATTGAGCAACGGAGGCCGACAATGGCAGGATCTACGCTTCCCGAGAGGGTAGCTCAAATTTATTATTCATATGGATTATTTTGTTCGTCGTACCCAATAACTGCAATCACGCTCGCACTCTCCATCGTACTGTTATGCTGGTAAGTTCATAATAATTTCACCTTTGAATATTTAATTTTATTCCTGAATATCAATGTAAGCTGAAGCCAAGAACTTGTTTACATAGGGCGACCAATGAGGAAAAATCCACACTCAATTTCTAATGATATCTAAGCACCTTCAAATGGCAACAGGTCAATTGTGTTATCACTCTCATTCCTACTATATAGGAAGTTTAATAATTATTTAAATAATATTAATTAATATTGAAAGATTAAATATTTATAATCAATTTTGTTAGGTAGCAGAATGTAATGATTATGTTATTGCTAAAGGAAATAGCTTTTCCTTTAGAGCTGTAATATCATCATTCAACATTATTGTAATTAGTAATAGAAGTAAGATTCAGAATATTTTAAATGCAATGCTTAAATTTAAATTTATATATTAATTGATCATTCAAATGTATGAAAATAAATAAATTTCCTTTCAGTTATCCTCTTCTGAATGTTCCACTACCAGGAAATGTACCTACAGCGATCAATTTTCCACTTAACAGTGACCATCTTAGACAATCAACAGATCCTGGATGTGCAGATAATAAATGTACATCGAGTAAGTTACTACACACATTTAGTGTTTGAACACACAATATTTTATTTATGTATTTATTTAATTTTATACACAAGAGTACAGTGGTGGACTTAATGGCATGATAATCTATGTATTAATAATTAAGGCTTTGGCATTAATTTCAATTTAAAAAATAATTGGATATTACTAAAATGAAAAGATGAAACTACCCTACTTACATAATTTTCGGTACATAGTTTTGTGGATTGTCATGAACAAGCCATGTGAATCATAAATTTGAAATCTAACAGATATATAGACTTTTTTACCAATAGAATATGAAGTAATAAAAATAATGATAGATATAAATATAAAATATTTCTAAAAAAAGCAATGAAATAACAAATCCAACTCAATCCCAATTTAATTCAACTCAATGAATTTATGGTGGCCTAAAGGATAAGATGTTTGGTGAATTCGGTTCAAGCAATGCGATTCTGCCCATATTTGAGTTCAGGCACCAATTTTTATAATGAGATATATGTACTTAATCCATTATAGAAATTATTTTCAAAATAAAAAAAATCATACTGGGATGAAATTGAAACACGCAAAAATGATATTTTTTGTAATCACTGGTGTCTTATGAGTCCGCATGGATAAGTACCACCACCCTGCCAATTCTTGTTGTGAAGCAGTAATATATAACGGCTTGAAGGCTGTGGCAGTCGAAGGGTGAGACATAGAACTTAGGTCATAAACAAAAATAATACTGCAATAGTCATCAACTATTTTTCTCGATTCGGTCAAACATTCTTCTATGGCATAATAGTTGATCGCTAATCACTTAGTGACTCAGCCACTGAGTATGCAATAAGTTGTAAATTTGATTTTAAAGAAAATATGCTATGTGAAAAAGTTCCAAAGTTAACCTGAGTTAAACTCTACCATCGTTACTAAAACGAATTGTGTCCTGAATACCAGTCAATTAACTTGTTTTTACTTGTACTACTTGTAAATTATGATAAATTACCAACAATTGTAGAACACCAAATTTGTAACATTCGCGTCAGACTCCCATGGGATCGACGGTAAAAAGTATGACCCAAATAAACGTCGCGCGCTTACACGTTAGTTGAGTTGTGAGGTCTCCTTCGGAGGCGCTCGGGTTGCTCTTAGCAAATAACCACCCCTCCTGGCTGAGCCTTTGCTCGCTCACCTGTCCTAGTGAAACTGGAAAGTCGTTTGGGCCACCAGTAATTCTTCAATCATAAAAAAATGTTCGTTTTTACACGAATTAAAATCTATCTACCGTACGAACACCCAGGTGATTGATCGTTAAAATAACGAAAACAAAGAGAACGTGCAGGACATTGTCGTGTGAACCCAGCCTTATAAACCACTGTACATTTTTAAACTGTTAAATAGTGAAATATCCCTTTGATTTTTTGGATTGAGATACTAGGAATTTTCCAGCTCCAGCGAGATTTTTTATAAACCAAAATAGCGCCGTTACCATACTGTCGTTTAATCGAACTGTGGTTAAACAAGTAACGTAATCTTAATTGGGTTTTATCTATTTGAGAATCGTTAGTCTTTTATAGGGTAGTTTCTCATTTTGTGTTCTTTTTCATTTGCTTGGTTTCAAAACAAAAGTTGATTTAATTTAAAGAAATACAATTAATCGTTATTGGCCGGCAAGTAATGGTTCCTATTTTAATAAAAACTTTGTGAGACTTGCACGATCAAAAAAACCAAGATTATGATATGTTATTTTTTTTATTAAAACTCATAAACATAGAGAATTTAGCCAAATCAAAAATCAAAATTGTATAATATGTATCTTCAATAAAAATCTGCTATTCCAGAACAAATTCATATTTTTATAGTAACAGCGGGTGATAATAATAATTATTTTACCTAGTTATTGATGCCTGGTATTTATTTTTGATAACACCTCATTATAAAGTGAATTCGGGAAGAAAATATATTTGTCACGAGCTCATAGTTTCGTTAAACCCGCGATGCTTAAGAAACCATTTGATTTTAAAAATCTCACTGTGATGCATAGAAACGCTAGTAAGATACCAGTCATGATAATAGCTACCGTTAAAGGGTATATAGTACATACATTTTAAAGTGGGTCAATCATTTCTCAAAAACGTCTCATAGTTCTTGGTCTGTACCATATAATGATCAGACATGAGAAGACCACCATTGGCATGTTAACGAAGACAATAAGATTTAAGGGAATGGAAATTCGTACGTCGTGTCTTTTCATACAGTTGTACATTCATTGTGTGGGTCAGTATTCTGAGCAGACTATCAATTTATATAACTATAAATTTAAAAGCAATTGATTATAAAAGACTTTGAAATAAAAGTTAGTCATTTTATTTAACCTGTGTGAGAATTGAGTTACGGCATTATCACATGTCTACACCCACATATTATGTCGTCTATGGGCGTCTTACCTACAGATGATTCATTACACACTAATAGATCTTAATTAAATTCATATTTTTATAGTTTGCTTCTACATTTTGCAGCACCTACTTCTCAGTTGGACCTTCTATTCAATGAAACGCAAAGACTTCCATATATTTGGGCAAAAGACAAACCGCTACTGTATGTTCAACAAATCATTTTAAAAATTGGTAAGTGCATATACATTCAATAAAGTCTCTCATTATTTTTTTATTAGACGTTCATTGAACATTTGGGGATTCACTTTCGTCCTGAGCTTTCTTTGGACTTTTAAAGTTGTCTAAAAAGTATGGTCCGAGTTATTCAATATTAGTCTTTCTTTTTCTTTTAGCTTTGACAAAGTATCTCCTATATGAACAAGAAGAGGTGTTAAGATTGCAAATATTAGCAGCATTGGTTCCTTTTTGTCTGTCGCTCGTCAATACGACTTCATGACTCAATGGGGGGTGGCGACGTGAACGGTTTTGCGTCAATCAGCTATCGCATAACGCTGTTTCGTTGGTGTCGTCTTACTAAAACTGTAGGGTATATCCAAGCTGTTTGTGCTCCCACGTGGGCTATCGTCAAACATCATATCGTTAGTGTGACGCGAATCAAACACGCGTTCAATACGAATGAGACACGAATCATTGCGTGAGCTTGGGCGCTCGGCACGCAAGACACGCCGTGAATTTATCAACTCAACCAAGCCATTAGTGGGTTTAGCTAGAAATAATAAACCGTATCATTAATCAAACATGAACGAGTCGATAATTAACGTCTACATTTTATTGTTCCTTGACCTTAAAAAAGTACACCAATAATAAATACTATTATGGATCATTATAAAATATGTAAAATGAACAGACACAACAAATACTTTTTATTCACGTTGAAGAAATGTATCGTTGCTTACATTGATTTTTTTTTGACTGGTGTTGTCAGCATTTCACAATGTCATGCCTCCTTGATGTTAAGGGTATTCAAGAGTATAGACGAACTACATACTTATAACTTCAAGGAACGTCTGAAATGTGTTCAAGGAATGTCTTAGAATGATATTCGAAGTGTTAGGTTATGATATGTTTCAACTTACTGTTTATTTTGTCCCAATCGTTTGACAAATAAAACTGATTTGATAATTTTGAGGTCGGAATCGAGGGCACATACTCGTAATAGTTTTAAGACGCAAAGTCTTCTATGGTCGTAAATACAATTCACATTGCATACTTTTGGTTTTAGTATGCCAAAAATCATAATAGTGTTATACTCGTATATTTACATAAACATACATCGTCATGTTTGGTTAGTTTTACGCCCAAAAAACAATAAATATAATTTTGATTGATTATAGTTATTTTATTACATTGACGTATTAAAAAAAAAACAAATTGCGTTCTGATATTCCAGGCGTATCACCATGGAATTCGAATTTGAAAATGTGGGACGCGTTCCGGGCTCCAATCCAAGAAGTGTTCCGGTTGTTAGAAACCATCAGAAATCACGAAGATCCAGATTTGTGAGTCATCAGTTTCGTGTTACGTCAATCATGTTTCATGTAAATTTTGTCAAATCCGGCACCCTATGTGGGTTGATCTTTGATTTGACTTTGATTCAATCGGTACCAAACAGGTTAGCCAGCCAAGGCAATCAGAATATTAAAAAAAAAAAAACAATATCTTACCAGTCGTTTTGGAGTTTGTATGTAACATACACACACACGTCAACTTTTATATACATAGTTAAACAATATTCTACGATTTTCTTTCTGGTCGTTTTTCTATTTGTCCGTTCGAATCTGAACAACAACAAAACGTAACTCTCGTACATCTTTTAAAGTTTAAATAGTTGTTTGTAATGTCCTTAAATACCTCTTCAAACGAGGCTTTTAGAGAGTACTTAACGGTAGGCAGCGGGTTGACTGCCCCTGGCATTGCTGATGTCCATGGGTGGCGGTAACTACTCATCACTAGGTGGGCAGTACACTCGTCCAAAAAAAATGTAAATTAAAAAAAATCTTTAAGGCAAAAACATTTTTTTTATTGCTTAGATGGGTGGACGACCTCACAGCCCACCTGATGTTAAGTTGTTACTGAAGCCCATAGACATCTACAACGTAAATGCGCCCCCCACCTTGAGATATAAGTTCTAAGGTCTCAGTATAGTTACAACGACTGCCCCACCCTTCAAACCAAAACGCATTACTGCTTCACGGCAGAAATAGGCAGGGTGGTGGTGCCTCCCCGCGCGGACTCATAAGAGGTCCCACCACCAATAAAATGTTGAATGTTAATCATATGTTTCCACTAACCCCTACTCATGTGAGTATATATCGGTTATAGACCTAAAAATTTTAAACTTATTCTACTTTAAAGTGTTCCCAACTAATTCCTAGGTACCTACCGTACTAATCAGCTGTTTCTATAATGCAAATACTAACAAATTTGATATTAAATTCAAATAAAGAACGTTTTATTAGCATTCATACTAATTATCTACAGAACGGCGTGATGACATTGAGCTGTAATTAAAATCCAAATATTTGACTTATTTATTTTACATCGACGTGACATGACACTGATTTAGAATAATAGCAGTCGCCACGTCCTCCGACTTTTCACTGTTATAATATTATTATAAGACTGGAACAGGAATGTACAGAATTATATATTCTATACATTATATATACATATTACATATTACAGAATTATATATTCTATACATTGAGAAAAAAAATCTATGCTACATTTAGGTGTAATATAATACCCGATTCTCTATAAAATATTTTCCTCTGTCTTTTTTATTGAGCAGCGCAATATCTACTAGACTGATTTAAATAAATATTTATCTATAACATCTTATTAAATCTTATTAAATTATACTAGTGGTCTCTTTGTAGTCGAAATTCCATTATAATTAATTGAAATTATACGTTTGGACATTATTATGGTTCTGTTGTCAAATACTATACTTCTATAATCACAGATTTAGCAAAGACTACACTATAGACAAATAATATTAAAGACAAACAATATTAATCTATTCTCAATTTGACCACAGACTAAAAGTTTGACAATAAACACGTATATGAGTCGACTATTATCAAAGCCGGCAATCTGACTTTTGGACAATTATTGGTAAATCAGAAAAACGAATTATTGACTTTGTATTCCATTGGCAGTCACAAAACTCTTCGGAACGACATCTTAGATAAATAACAGGTTAACTATTAACCTTTATTTAATGCAGGTTTTGAACCGTATTCTTTGAAGGAGACGATTATATTCAAATCAATCTGTATTGACATATCAATAACATTTTTTTCTCCAAATACACAGATTGCCACCTTTGATAATAGACGACTCATATATGCGTGCGTGTATTTAACATGGTAGTGTGTGTTATGTTTTTTTATTGATTTAATATATGTTTAATGCATAATATAAAATAATATAGCATTCTGCTCTCCTTCTCTATATTCTCTATAAGTGTGGAAAAATTCACACTCCTCCGTCCGCGCAATTTTCAAAAAGGGCTACAAAGTTTTTGCTTCACGTATTAATATACATAATAAGATAATATATAGATAGGTGTTAAACTTCTTCTAATTAGTATTTCATTACTATTAATTTATTACTTAATTATAACTTTAAAGATTACTATTAATTTATATTATTAACCTAATAAAGATACTTCATTTTAGTATGCTATTTCTATTTACTGATATCAGATTTATCTATTTATATACTCATTAAATAAATATTTGTGTTTGTGTCCAATATATATGATGCTTAAAGGATTTTCGTCTACTGGATAGGTTTAACTGATGTTGTTACACATGTTTCGTCGGGAATCTTAAAACCGTATTATTTATTTATAATAACTGAATATAAGTAGAAAATAAAACATATTTTAAATAACGCGTTATACTTACTCTTGCAGGTTCGGTAAAAGTAGTTTTAATTATGCATACAACTCTGTTGTTCCTGTTTCTTATTCCCCCCCCCCATTTCATGATTTTAACAACAAGCCTTGTTGTTTAAAATTATCATATTTCAGAAAACAAACTCTACAACAGAACTGCTATCAAATCGGAGCTATCAAACGACGCGAGAGCAAAGCCAGCATCGAACGTGTCCTACCGGAATACAGTTGTCTCCTTCTGTCACCAGCGAATTTGTGGCAACAAAACCTTCAAACGTTTTCACTCGACACTAACATAGTCAACACCGTTTACAACTATCAGGTAATTTCTTTTTTCTTTTTTATTGCTTAGATGCGTGGTTGAGCTCACAGCCCACCTGGTGTTAAGTGGTTACTGGAGCCCATAGACATCCACAACGTAAATGCGCCACCCACCCCGAGACAAGTTCTAAGGTCTCAAGTATAGTTAAAACGGCTGCCCCACCCTTCAAACCGAAACGCATTACCGCTTCACGGTAGAAATAGGCAGGGTGGTGGTACCCACCCGCGCGGACTCACAAGAGGTCCTACCACCAGTAAAAAATTGAATAATAATAAAACCGGAGACGTATCATTGTATGTATCACCTGCGTCTGGGTTAATTTATGCGACGAAGGGCTCGATGAGTAAATCAACCCACAGACACAGCCCACTGAGTTTCTCGCCGGATCTTCTCAGTGGGTCGCGCTTACGATCCGGTGGTAGATTCTGCGAAGCACGGCTCTCGCTAGAGTTCGTGTCAGCAACGTCGTCAGGATTGAGCCCCGTGAGCTCACCTACTAGTTAAGGTTACGCTGAAATAGCCTTTCAAGGCTATCAGATTAGGTAGGAAAAAAAACCTTCGATGTTTTGTTGTATTCCGATCGCTTTATAGGCAGTAAGTATTATGAATTTTCTAAATGCATTTAGGTCATTCCTTTCGCAGAACTTGCAAAAAGGGAAAGTTTCAATAGCGGAAATGGCGTTCGGCATGCAAATGCGGGACACCGGAATAAAGCGGTATCCGTTGCGGGCCCGACCTCGTGTACTGCAATACGCTGTCACAATTTTCTACGACAACCCCGAAGACAGGTCTCGTATCCGCTATTTATAATACTAATATTTAAAAAAAAAGACATGCTCGCTGAGTTTCTTGCCAATTCTTCTCAGTACGGAGGTTAGTTTTTGTGAATTGGCGGTAGTTCTTTTGACGTTCAACAAGTATGTACTTTCATTTATGTTGAATAAAATTGTTATTATTTTTATTTTGAGTTATTGACATATCGAGGGATTAAAGAATATTAAATTTGGTTTAAGTGACATTTTGCAACTTTACAGGAGAGCCATTTAAAGTTTAAAATTTGAAAAAAAATCTCTTCTTTTTCTTCACCTTATCCCACTAGATGGGTTCGGCACAGCTAATTTTTATCTTCCATTCTCTTGTATCAGCCGTCAGCTCAACACTCACTCCTCTCTCTATCTCTCATATTGTCATTCATACACTCCATCCATGTCTTCTTAGAGCAACCTTTTTTTTCCCCTTTACCTGAAAATCTGAAAAAAATATTATAACAAAAAAACTTCTTCAGCTATTTGAATGGAGTAAACTTAATTGAATTTGAATTAAAAATATCGAACTGTTGACGCTAATACCAAATAAAACGCACCTTTAATTACAAAGATAAATGTCGCGTATGAAGCGAAACGTCGCTTAAACCAAATAGCCTTTCACCCTTCGAATATTATGTTTTATACTCACAATAAAGACGATTTTTAACAACCATGTTTTTTTGTTTGTTTCAGATTTATTCAATCACTCACCAAGAAACTCCAAGATATGTACCCCCTATATCAAGACAAGTCGCACGTCAATGTTGACGAAGTGACTCTCGTCTATTATCCGGGACAGTTCAATTACCGGGAACTCGTCCCATTGACAATAACGTTTGTCGGTTTATTTCTCTACGTATATTTTTCTGTAAGGAAGATCGAGTACATAAGATCTAAATTAGGACTCGCGGCCTGCGCCGTCGTGACGATAGCCGGGAGTTTAAGTATGTCGATGGGGATTTGTTTTTACTTCGGCTTCTCGTTGAGTCACCAGGGAAAAGAAATATTTCCGTATCTCATCATCATCGTTGGCTTGGAAAACGTATTAGTGTTGACCAAGAGCGTAACTTCGACCGACTCGAGGCTGGATGTCAAGATACGATTGGCGCAGGGACTCAGCAGGGAGGGATGGTCGATCACCAAAAACTTACTAACCGAAATCACTATATTCACAGTCAGTTTCTTTACTTTCGTACCGTTCATACAGGAATTCTCCATATTCATGATAGTCAGTCTGTTGTCCGATTATTTTATACAAATTTTGTTTTTCGCTACCGTTCTCGGTATCGACGTGCGTCACATCGAGTACCTCCAAGACAAAAATAATAAATTGCACTTAAAAGAGTATTTTAGTATGCACAACGCGCTCAACTGGCGTTACAATAAAAGTTACACTGACGAGTTTAACTTTTCGCCGCAACCGATGACGAAATCGAAGTCCCATCCGAGACTAATCGGATTGGCCCAGAACAGCCCCACGGACGTGGTCGCCAACCGGAACTCTAGTCCGGGCCATCAGGACAATCGCGTGCCGAAACGCATCAAGCTTGTGAACATGTGGGCGAGGACTAGGTTTTTTCAACGGGCCTTCATGCTGTGGATGCTCGTGTGGATATCCACGATCGTCTACGATTCCGGTGTCGTCGACTATTTCATTGGGAGCGCGGAAAAATTAGAAAACGTCGAGACGAACAAAAATTACGTCGATAAAAGGGAATCTACAAAGGAATCAATGTACGAGATGTTTTATAATAGTACAGATCGAAATACTGTGGTGTTCCCGCCCATGTTTGATATGGCCGACTCGGATAAAGCACTCGACACAAACGACACTATAATGTTGAAGCATTCTCCGCATTCGCGGCCGTGGTCTAGGTGAGTACTATTTTCGTGAAAGTTCGAAGTAAATTAAAATGTCATCGCTGAGCAAAATTTATATACAACAACATTGATTACTTATATAGATAGTTCTATTTAAATAGAACACTGATATAACTCGATAACATTTATATGTTATGTGAGTATATTAAATAATACATACATACATAGCTTCAACGTTTTTAACGGACTTCAAAACTCTATTTATATTTTTTGTAAGCAGTTGCTTCTCATGCGTGCCCATTTAAATTTTATCAAAATCAAACCAGTAGTTTTTGCGTAACCTTAATAATGCATGCTTCGACCATATTGATGATAGTTTCTTTTTATTTTCTCGAAGCCGGTTTTCTTTTTCTTAATTTTTTTTTTGTCGTCAGGCAATTGATTTTTAGATCGGTGCTCTAAAATACCCAGCAGGCAAATTTCTGTGCATCCTAAGCGATATAGAAGCGCTTCTGTTTTTTTTCAAACGAAATTTATTTTTTCAGGCTTTCTGACTACCATTGGTCAACTATACTATCCAACTACAATGAATCGACAGCGGGTCGTTACGTTGTAATGCTACCACCAACGCTACTGAGTCATCGCGTAAGTCCCGAACTTGCTGTGGGGGTTCGGAATCCGGACGAGAAGGATCCACCACCGCTGAGATGGCAAGCATTAGCTGCAGCGCTTGATCCCATTGACATATTACCCGGTAATCTATATATTAATACGTGAAGCAAAAACTTTGTACCCCTTTTTACGAAAATTGCGCGGAGGGAGGAGTATGAAATTTCCATCTATTTGACACACACACGCATGCATACTATTTGTTTATTGTCAAACTTTTCTTATTGCTTATAGTCAAATTGTGTCAATGTCAAATTGAGAATAGATTAAATATTGTTTGTCTTTAACATTGTTTGTCTAAAGCGTAGTCTTGGCGAGATCTGTGATTAAAAAATTATAATAGTATTTGACAATAAAACCATTATAGTTTACAAACTTATAATTTCAATTAATTATAATCGAATTTCGACAACCGTGGGACCATTAGTAATTATAGTTATTGCTCAAAGTGTGCATACGTGTGCGCGCTTTTTAATACGCGCAAATTAGAATTCGTTCTATTTTATATATCCATACATCGACCGGGCACCGGTAAATGGATTCCTCAGCGTAAAAAAAGGTCTTAATTGTGACAAAAAAAAAACATATCTTATAAAACGTATTTACCGTAAATTGCTCATTAATGCTGTGAAATAAATAATTATGTAACTTTCTTAAGTCTAAATTACAAACTATTAAAAATAAAGCAACCATGTATAGTAGTAGTACTTAAGCATAATTAAATTCGATAGCAGTGGTTTTGGTCTGAAACACACACGAACAGACACAAGACAGGAATGTTTAAAAAGAAGAAACTGAAGATACATTTAGAAAAGTTTACGATATTACTTTTCTAAATGTATCTTCAGTGCACCTGCTCTTAGTCTAAAATGAACGAATTGAGACACTAATTTCGTACAGTACATCGTAAAAGTTACGAGCTGTTATACCAATAGGGTTGACATATCCGCGATTTTCGGAGGCACTCGTTGGAGACAACAATAAACATTATTAGGACATCACAAGGCAGATAGTTCTTTGCGTACGAGCAGGCGAGACTGTCCTAAGTCGTAGTAGCCTGAAAGGGAAAGACGCCCGATGCATTTGTATCGAGTGATGCGACCTTGCTAATTTTTCAATCCCGTAGGCAGATATAAATTTTAGGCGTTTTTTTTTATTTGTTGATGCACAATACAAATTACAATCATTACAGTACATAGTAGCTAAATCGTACAAGTAGTACCTAGATCTAATCTGGATTGCAATCTAAATAGTATGTGCACTCAGCAAAACCATATTAATGTGCATAGCTTTGGCTATTGAAAACACAATTGAAATTACAAATATTGATAACTAGCCATCGTTAAATATGATATCCTTCACACATTTGATAAATCCTCTGAGCCTAGGTTCAAAGTTAGCAAGGTTACTGTGACATTTAGCCAAATCATTTCATTTTTATTACCCAAAGTTATTTCTTCATCTCGGAAATTATTCGTTTTTATTGCGTTAAATGCATATATAATTAAAAAAATTGGTACCGGCCTGCGGGATTCGAACATCGACACTATCGCATTGCTTCCTAATACCGGTCACTCACATGCGCACGAATACGCAAACCCGCAAGTGTAGGACCACATATGCAAATGATTATGCAAAGTTTTCGCTGCATTCGCGGTTTTCCAAGCTGTGTCGGTTTTTTAATGGACATCAAAGCGCGCGAACCTCAATCATTTGTGTAGTCTCCCACACATTCGTGTGACCAGTTGCACCCACGATTGCGAAGGTAACGGACGTATCGCCATTTTCATAGTTCGTAACATCTACTGTGTAGCGTATCTTCATCATGGATTGGAACAACACCAAGGTGATGGAGTTCATTGAACAATCGACCATGTGGAACCCTCAAAAGAAATCCCATAAAAACGGTCGTCCCGTTAATGTCGCCTGAGAAAGAATTCAAACTCTCTTTCTGTTCAATGTTCTATTGGCGAATTAAAAAATAAGAGAAATTCGTAAACAAGTTTAGGAGGAAGCGCAAACGGGTTCGCAAATTGAGTACCGAACCCATTTGCACAGCCGCTAAGTTTGCGAATGAATGTTTGACGGCCCTTCACATGCGCGCAAACATTCGTACAATGTACGAATATTTGCGCGCATGTGAGTGGCCGGCATAAGACTATTATAGTTCGTTCGCGTTAAGAATGTAGTGAGTTATCAGTGCGACTGCAGGGTAAAGGTGTATTCACAGTAACAAATCATATTTTCAAAAGATTAAGTTTAATGAATTTTAAAAATACACTTAATAGTTAAAAATCCAAAATAAGTCATTAATATTGTAATCACTATCACTAGTATTTATAATAAAAGAATTTTCTGCAGCGAGTTCCATGACGTCATCTAAATACCACGTGGCACTTTTTTATTTAAAAAAAATTAATCCAGCGTCGTATCCTTTAAATCCACGACGTCTCCGAAACACCGTATCGATGACGTAAACAAAAACATAAAATACTTTGTTTTAGATTTCGACGTTGTCGACGGGAAAGGCTCCCCGCTCCAATGGGGCAAGGGGTCAGAACTGCCTATATACCCTACAACACCAATGGAAATTCTTCTGCTCGCCATACTGTGCTCCATAAGCGTCGCCGTCATCGCCTACATGATGGTCGTTTTGTACAGGTATTGTTCTCGATATAAATTAATCAAACGTATTGCTTCCGTGATTCGCCGCGTGCGGGTCAGTCGCATCAATTACCTACGTCTATTTGCCTCGCGGACGGATCTGTGTGCTTAGTGCGAGTTTCTTAACGTTCTCGATAGCGTAAACGTTAAGCCAATTTTGTATGCAATTGGAACAACGCCCCTAGCGGCAAACGTACGCAAACGATTCCATTCCATACATATATGAGCTAACTTTTACGCTATCGAGAACGTTAACTCGCGCTAAGCACACTGGACTGCCCAATAATGCAACACTGGACACGTGTGCATGTTGAGCACTCTGGATCTAAGCTAACCGTTAGGTTAAGGTAGTTTTGACATTCATTTTTATATTTTGTTTTATTATTTTTATTTTTGTTTTATTCCGAAGTTATAGTTATTGATAATGAATGTAACATGAATGCAAAATCTGAAGTAAATGAATAAAATAAAATAACTAAATAAATAAAGATTAATTAAGAGTTATCCATCTATTTAGGTATTCTTATTCGTAATATTTTCCATAATTTCGTTGTGAATTACATATTATAATTTATCGCAAGAGCAAGTTTTTAAATTACATGAAGCAAAAATTCATACTGATATTTATATTATATTGTAAATGAGAATGAGAATGTGTATCGTTTTTCACGGTGAATAGAGACGCGAAGTCAATTACCTTGTGTTGTGTTCCTAACATGCACTTGGTTATTTGAGTCGTCTATTATCAAAGGTGGCAATCTGTGCATTTGGACAAAAAAATTTTATTGATATGTCAATACAGATTGATTTGAATATAATCGTCTGCTTCAAAGAATACGGTTCAAAACCTGCATTAAATAAAGGTTAATAGTTAACCTGTTCTTTATCTAAGATGTCGTTCCGAAGAGTTTTGTGACTGCCCATGGAATACAAAGTCAATAATTCGTTTTTCTGGTTTACTAATCATTGTCCAAAAGTCAGATTGCCGGCTTTGATAATAGTCGACTCATTTCTCGAAATGATTGCGCGTTTATTAAACGAAACCGACAAAAATCCGTGTCTCTAAAAGAAAAAACACGTATTGTGATAAAAACCAAAGTAATTTTATTAGATAGGTCACTCGCCGTCATGCGTGTAATTTTCATTGTAGACTAAAACTTTTTTGTGAAAATAGAAAAAAATTGATAATTAATAATTTCGCAATTATATTTTCGCCATCTGCCATATTTTGATGATACTAAGACTGATACTGTACCAATGTTTTTTTTAAGGGATTTTATGACCTGGTAACTAAGACGTTTAAGTCATGTCTTATTTTAATTTATATTCATATTTTGTATGAAAAATGATATTATGGAGTAAAATGAGACAAAGATGATTAATTTGAGATATTAATTAACTGGGATGAAATAAAATAAAATGACATGAGATGATATGGGATGAAATATAATCTCAGTAAAATGGTGGTCATTTACTAAGATTTTTTCAGTGGACTTTTTGGAGGATCCCGAGAAGTTACGTCCAGCGGCTTTGTTTAATTTTCCCACATTTGTGCACTTTCACAGATACTAAACAGTTAACAAACTGCCGTTATTACACATTTAAACCTGAAGAAACACTAAATAGACAAAATAAAACAAATCACACAACTTCACTCCTCGCGTTCCCGCCAAAAAGTCCGCAATTAAGCGTACAGCCTAAGAACGCATAGAATATCAACAAACATAGATTCTTTTTTCCTGTTTTTTATTGCCTTTGTAGGCAGTCGATCATACGGCTAACCTGATGGTGAGTGGTGACCGTCGCCCATGGACTTCACCAATGCCAGGGGCAGAACCAAGCCACTGCCTACCATAAAAGCATATTTAAATAAACATATATAGATAAATAGATTTTGAAGGGGATTTCACGTTTGGACACAGGTGTATTTGTTCACGGCATTATGCGGAATGGAGGGCGTCTTGGAACGATAACGAGGAATACCGGAGGATCATAGCCAAGCAACCGGCCATTCAGGTACGTTAATATGTGAATGTTATTCGGGAACGTATCGACGTTTTAAAGTCGTCGTGGCCTAAAGGATAAGACGTCCGGTGCATTCGTATGTAGCGATGCAACGGTGTTCGAATCCCACAGGTGGGTACCAATTTTTCTAATGAAATACGTATAACATCGTGTAATAAAAATCAAACCTAAAACCTAAACCTCTCTACAGCTCTAGACGAAGCGTGAACATGGAACGAATTTATTAAAATTCCATTATTTTCAGTTGGTAATGGAAGCAGTGCCTTTGGTCGTAGCCGGCCATAGCCAGGAAGTGGAGTGCCTGGTGACCGATGGTGAGAAGATAGTTAGTTCTTGCCTCCAAGGCAATATAAAAGTATGGGACTCGCAGAACGGAGAAATCATCACAAACATTGATAGAGAAGCGTAAGTCACATACAATAATGCTCAATTGAATCGTGCGCCGATCGATATTCGACCATAATCACTAACACCTTAAGATTCATTTAATGTATTTTATAAAAAAGACACTTCAATTAATAATTCTATATTCTAAATGTGTCTTATTCGTGAACAAGATCAAAAGCTTTATTGTTTGCAGTTTCATTTACATACTAATATTAGTAAACGATAAGATAGTATCTACAATTTGGATGCTATACATACTATCTGGAACCACTGGGTTCATCGACAGTGGGTTTCCAGAGTCTTCCCGGTACCATCCTTTGGAATGAGCTACAAACGGTGTATCCCAAGCGCTAAGACATGTCCTTCTTGAAACGATGCATTCTGAGACTCAATGGTTGGCAACGACTTGGCTGTGCCCCTGGCATTGCTGACGTCCATGAGTGACGGTAACCACTTCATATGGGGTGTGCCGTATGCTTGTCTACCTACAAAGGCAATAATAATAAACATAAGATGCGAATTAAAAAAAGCATTATCCTACTTTTTGTTAGCATTACACAGGTGGACGATATCAAGGGCCCCCTGGTGTTAGAAGTCTCGAATGGTATTTTAATAGCCGAGCCGCCCCTCATACTAGAAGGCACTACTTGTGCAGTTTCGCCAGACGCTAACCTAAAAAAACCTATAAACCTATTTCAAGCCACTTGTAAGGTTCTAATGTATTAATTCACCTAGGGAGCAACTTAAACATACACAGAAACAAAAAAAATACGAAAACCACCTGCTTTGTTTCAAAATTCAGGACAAACGTACAGAATAGTTATTTACATGTTTGTAAAATAAAAAAATATGCATTTATAATATTAGTGGAAAACATGTAATACTTTTGTTTTTTTTTTCAGTTTCTTCAACCTACAGAATCTATTACACAGTAAAGCTAAATCAAAAAGGTGCAGTTATCACGGTGACCTACGTGATAATGAAGGTAGGTATAAAAATATTTACTGTAACTAATAACCTTTGAATAGTTGTGTAATGATCGAAATCCGACCATAATCACTGATGCCTCAGGGCTTAGATTCATTCTATGCTGCTTTGAATTCGTTATATAACACAATTAAGATTTCGATCTGTTTTCTATTCCACTATCGGTTCCAAATTTAAGATAGGTTCACTTCTACCACCTAATAATAACATGTTTCAGATGCCTACGAAGTAGTTCCAACATCGAAAAATAACGAGGTGAGGTTCTTTAGCAAAATTAAGAAAATATTTAAAAAAAAAGTGACGTTAGGAATATATTTAAAACTTTTTCAATTTTTTTTTTTCAATAGCCTGTTCCTCATTTGCGAAAAGGTTTGAGTTCGTATTTAAGTGGATTGCGATTTCGTCCCGCATCGAGCGAGCGTGTGCCGAATCTTTCCGTAGCGGACACCACTAAGTATGAATTCGCGAAAAGTTACAGGTAGAAGAAAAAACAATATATATATAACAATAGATAATAAAATCAAATCGGAACAGATGTTCAAGTTAATTTCGAAATAATTTTATTTTAGATCTATATACTACACAAACGAAAATGACGACGTTTATAATTGTAACGAATGCAAAGAAAACATTGACATAAACAATTTAAACATATCCAAAACTAACAAAAGTACTAACAGTATTCAAGAAGATGACTTAAGTAAAGATATATTAGAGAATATGGAAGCTAGCAATAATCTAAGAAATAGAAGTAAGAATAAAACGTATAATGAGGAGCGACCGAGAACTAAGCAAGCAAGCGGTTCAGCTGCTACCAGTACCTTGGATTGGCAAGGGAAACCGATTCTAGAATCTCCTGTCTGGTGTATGGACTTTAGCAATGATCTCATCATATTAGGCTGTGCGGATGGCAGACTTGAGTTCTGGGAAGCGAGCACGGGACGACTTATGGTAATTTTTTTTTCTTCATATATATACACAATATTTTTGTACTAGAAAGTTTCTTAACTGAAAAGATAAAATTCGGCAAATACTAGTCCTGATTGAAGTTATATTTTTCCTGTATCCATTCGATATCAGAACCACAACGTCGAGACTGTCACTTTGTGAAAAAGCAAAAATCAGCATTACTTCAATACATATCTAAACTAAGTTTCTTTCCAAATAAAAACACTTTGAGAAGACGGCACGACATGAAAACCCTCTTGTCGTGGCCGCCAGTAATTACCCGATCCTGTGGACTGAATGATAAACAGTCGACGTCGCCCAAAACACGTCATTACGGATCCTCCCGATCCACTAACGGTGCTTTTAGGTACCTCAAGCACCGGTCACCGTCCTCGCCAAACTTGTAAATTAACCCACAGACACAGCCCACTGAGTTTCTCGCCGGATCTTCTCATTGGGTCGCGTTTCCGATCCGATGATAGATTCTGCGAAGCACTGCTCTTGCTAGGGCCAGTGTTAGCAACACTCCCGGTTTGAGCCCCGTGAGCTCATCTACTAGCACGTAGGCAGACGAGCATACGGCCCACCTGATGGTAAGTGGTCACCGTCGCTCATGGACGTCAGCAATGCCAGGGGCAGAGCCAAGGCGCTGCCTACCGTTAAGTACTCTCCATAAGCCTGGTTTGAAGAACGACATGTCATAGCGCTCGGAAAACGTCGTGGAGGGGAGTTCATTCCAAAGCCGAATCTGTAATAACCACTCGAGGCTTCTAGAATAAGTAGGATAAAAAAAACATATATATTTTTTGTTTTTCTATAAACGATTGGCGTTAATCTGACAAACATATTCACAGTGGGAGTCACATTTTTTTTTTATTATTTCAATATGTTACCTAATGAAAAATTATGAGTTAAGCTATCAAGTAATTCAACTACGACCAGCTGTATATGATCGGTTTAAGTGAGTGTGGGTAGTGATGTAGTGCGTGTGCGGGGGCGGCGAGGGCGTGACGCACGTGCGGGCGCTGGCGGGCGCGGCGCGGGTGTGTGCGGCCTCGCTTTCCGGGCACCTCACTCTGATGCGCCTCGACGCCTACAACAGTGCGTCGGGCGCCCATGTCGACTGGGGCTTCAGCACCGCGCACAGACGAAGTAAGCACCCGAGCTGAGAGAGAGAGAATACACTTTATTGCACACCAAAACACAATTTACATTCAAAAAACAGTCAAAAAGCAGATAGATTTGTACAATAGGCGGTCGTATCGCTTAAAGCGATCTCTTCCAGACAACCGTTTAATTTACAGAAATTCTGGAAAATATAAAAATATAGCAGCTATGTTGCGGTGTACTAAAGACAGATATATACCATTTACATATAATATGAAATATATAGCTAACTGATTTATATACCAATATACATACTTACATACAATACATACTAATATACTTACATACACATAATTAATCAACAGTATGGAAATGATAATGATGCAAACAAACAGCACTAAGCAGATAAGTAGTGTTCCTTCACCATTCTTTTAAAACAGTTTAAAGTTGGAGCACTTCTCATTCGGCATCCGGCAGAGCATTCCACAATAGAACCTCCTGGACGGTGAATGAATTATCAAAGAATGATGATGAATATATTAATATCGTCTTCGCTGATATATCGTGTTTTCGCATTTGTAGTCGTCGTGGCCTAACGGATAAGACGTCCGGTGTATTCGTGTTGAGCGATGCACCGGTGTTCGAATCCCGCAGGCGAGTACCAATTTTTCAAATGAAATACGTACTCAACAAATGTTCACGATTGACTTCCACGGTGAAGGAATAACATCGTGTAATAAAAATGAAACCCGCAAAATTATAATTTGCGTAATTACTGGTGGTATGACCTCTTGTGAGTCCGCGCGGGTGGGTACCACCACCCTGCCTATTTCTGCCGTGAAGCAGTAATGCGTTTCGGTTTGAAGGGTGGGCCAGCCGTCGTTACTATACTTGAGACCTTAGAACTTGTATCTCAAGGTGGGTGGCGCATTTACGTTGTGGATGTCTATGGGCTCCAGTAACCACTTAACATGAGCTGGGCTGTGAGCTCGTCCACCCATCTAAGCAATAAAAAAATAAAAATATTCGAAATTGAGTTAATATGCGGAATCATTTGGTATCACCGGTATTTTTCTCATAAATCTGTCAAAAGAGCGTAGTTTAGTTTTAGTTTGTTTTTTTTTACTTTACCTATGTTTTGACTACTATTAATAAAATTAATATATCATTTTATCTTACTTAAAAGATAAATATTGATAGTGGTAAAAAATAAAAAATAAATGTTGCAAAGAATATTAATATTAAAAATATCACATGTTAAACCTTTAAAATACTCTTCTGTAAAATTAGTAAGTTTTGAGATTATACAGTTTTAATGCGAGAAGACGAATATAACCACCTAACAGGAACGACTCGGAAAACTAAAGGCTCGCGTACATAGTTGGAATGGGGGGTTATTGCATAACAAAAATCCCACGTACTCCATTTTCGTGCATTTCATATGGACTATCGGACTGCAATATGCGCGAGCCTTCTGTCCTTTTGGAATTAATAATTTATTTTCGACCTTATCGTTTGAGTCTTTCCTGTTAACGTAACATATAATGTTGTTATTTTTTCTAAATATTACTAGCTTAGTTAAGGACGTCGTAATGTAAATCTTGCTGCAAACGTTGAGATTATATCTTCATTGCATCAATATAACCAATAAATATAGTTCACTTCCAGATAGTGTAGATGAGATTTGACAATATACAGCTTGTAGTCTGTAGCTGTGTGTATTTAAATTTTAGTTGGTTCAAATAGTCTTAAATCACTAAGTTTTATTATTCAATATGCTAGAGGAAAATACTTAGGAAGAAGCTTATTATGGCTTTTTTTTTTTCTCGAAATATTATTAAACTGTGCCACTTACAAAATGATCATATAATTTATACAAAATTGGTGCAGAATGAAGCAGCATTTACTTTTGTGATTCATATTATTTTGACGAATAGCTCATTTATTTTTATTTATTTGCCAAGAATAACAAATACGTTTGCTTGAATTAGGTCGTAAATCTGTATTTGTGGGCTGCTTGGGATATGAACGTAAAAAAAGCAGAGAGTACTTAATTTTTATTAATCAACGTCAATGTCTTATTAATTATCTCACAGCGCACAAGCGGAACGGTTCGACTGGCTCGTTGCAGACGAGCTTCGGCGTGAACGACGAAAGCTCCCGATACAGAACTAATTTCACCTACAAAAGCGATCCTAATGACGGAGAAGGTATGAACTGCATTCGATCGAACTTTAGTCACTAATGTATTATACGCGGTGAACTCACTCTGCCCGTTCGTTATTAATGATAATATAAACGACTTCGAAATTTAAAATTGTAATTCAGAAAGAATTGAAGATGTTTTACTTTCCCGGTATAAAAGAGTTGATTTTGTCGCTCTTTGTTCCGTAAGCTACCATTCGATTTGTAGATCTGTTCGTACGTATAATCACGAACCATGGAACAAATTGTCGTATTTTTTATATCAGAGGTACCTCGGTCGTGTTAGCCCGGATCATGTTAATTATACCACGATAAAAAGTAGCAAAAAATGTAAATACAGTAAAAGATAGCAGCCGCAATGTGCCTAATGGTAATCTCATAGCTCAAGATGCAACTTTTGTAACGGAGAAAGGTAAAGAGTTGAATATTGCAGTATTGCTCCGAAGCGCAGCATCCTCATTCAATCTAGTCGACCTTCTCACGTTTACAGCGCTGTGTTGCGTCTGCCTACCCTTCCATCTTAAATCTAAGCTTTTTTTTTCTTTTTCGTTTAGAACATTTTAATTGAAACTTTAGAACGTGTTAAGATTCACGAACTTAGCTTCGTGACCTAATCTGACCAAAACGATTATTGTCACGTAAGACCCTCAGATCTGATAGCTATATATTAATACGTGAAGCAAAAGCTTTGTACCCCCCTTTTACGATAATTGCGCGGACGGAGTAGTATGAAATTTTCCACACTTAAAGAGAATATACAGAAGGTCTGTAGAATGATATTTTTTTTTTTTTAATTATGCATTAAAAATACATTAAAATCAATAAAAAGACATTACACACCCTACCATGTATTTGACACACACACACGCGCGCATATTATGTACTCTTTTGTTTATTGTCAAACTTTTGATCATAGAAGCTTAATAGTCTTTGACAATAGAAACACTCAAAATTATAATTTCAATTAATTATAATCGAATTTTCGACTACTGGGTGCTCACTAGTATAACTATAACAGTGATGTTTTCTGTCTTTTATTTTTATAATCGAGTTAAATTATTTTATTATTAATTCGTAGAAGTGGTGTGCGTTCGAATAGCGCAGTGCAGGCCTCATCAGCAGCCTGTTACTGAGATGCACTCGGAAGGCGGTCGCATCTTAACCGGAGGTCAGGATCACGTGGTCAAGGTAAAACAATACAAGCTACACGCTAGGAAATATGATAAACCCTGTTAGATTCCTGAGAAAGATACAATAGTAAACGCCTCTTCGTTAATTGGAAGTTAATAATCACTGGTGGTAGGACGTCTTGTATGTACCACCCTGCCTGTTTCAGCCGTGAAGCCTTAAGCCTTCGCCAAACAGAACGCGTACTTAGCGCCGCGTACTTAACGTCGCGCTCTTCTAATTGACTAGATGAGTCTAACGCTCCTTGACGCAACGCATTCGCCAAATCATAGTGCCTTTCGATAGCAGTGTAAAAATTTAAAAGTATTAAGAAATCGAGTGATTCAGATGTGGCATTGTATAAGCATGGGTATTTTCTAACTATTTATATCATTTTTTCGGGCATTATTTAGTATTTTAATACACATTCACTCGGACGCTAAAATAAAATTTGTAAAAAATTACAACGCCTGACGTCAGAGCGTCCTAACGCCGCGACAGAGCGTTGCGTACTTATGGCCCTGGGGCTCTGTTTGACGGTATGTTACCATAGTAGTACAACACATCTCGGCGTCATAGCGAGGCGTCAGTTTAGCGCTCTGACGCGCGCTAATTACGCGTTCTGTTTGACGAAGGCTTTAATCGTAAGGCCTTGTCTGCACTGCGATAGTTCACCGCGCGTTTTTTTCCTCGTAATTCTGCAACACATTTAATTCTATAGGAGTAGCCGTACTGACGGTTAAAAAAAACGTGCTAGAAAAAAATCTGTGATTTAATGCAAATTGAACGCGAAGCAGTGCGATTTATTTCCGCGTGAATATTTTGCACTGTATAAAGTAAGTATGGCTATGTTCACACTGTGGAATAAAATTCGCGCGGCTATTCGAATAAAATTAGTTCGGTTGTCCATTTTACACGTGCGTCTCAGCCGAAACTGAATTAAACTGACAAAAATAATACTAAATTTTATTCACAGTGCGTACTAGGTGTAATTCCGATCGCGGAATTTAATACGCCATAATAAAAACCTCGCGGTGAAATATCGCTGTGCGGACGGGCCTTAATGCGTTTCGGTTTGAAGGGCGGGGCAGCCGTTTTAACTATACTGACACCTTAGAACTTATATCTCAAAGTGAGAGGCGACATTTACGTTGTTGCTGTCTATGAGCTCCAGTAACTACTTAACACCAGGTGGGCTATGAGCTCTGAGGCTGTAAGCTCGTCCATCAGTCGAAATTGCTTGCGTGATATCGAGATGATACGTTCCCTGTTTTTAATTTAACTGAATGATTAAACGTAATATTGACTGACTCGACGGCGCAGTAGTTAACGGCCCTGACTGTTGCGCAGAGGATCGTTAGTTCGATTCCCGCATCGGGCAAACCAAGCTAAGCTATGTTTCAGGTGTTCTCTAGCGCGGAATTAACGCCTCTCTTTACACTGCACGGACACTGCGGACCTATAACCAGTTGCTTCATCGATCACGCGACTCCAACGATAGCTGGGAGCGGATCGCAGGACGGCCTCCTCTGCGTGTGGGACCTGCATACTGGTAACAAACCCGGATATATATATCGTTGTTGTAGTGATGAGACGCGAGGTGAAAGGATCGAGTGTAAAACAGTGAGCTTAGTGAGAGTTTTTTAACGTTTTCGATAGCGTAAAAGTTAACTCAAATTTCTATGGAGTTGGAACGTTAGTCTACGTTTGACGCTAGAGGCTCTGTTCCAACTCCACACAAATTTAAGTTAACTTTTACGCTATCGAGAACGAAACTAAGAAATAAATAAATAAAACTCGCACTAAGCACACTGATCTCGTGTGATGCTTTATTTTTTATTTTTTTTGTTGCCTAGATGCTTGGATGAGTTCACAGTCCACCTTGTGTTAAGTGGTTGCCGGAGCCCATAGACATCTACAACGTAAATGCCGCCACCCACCTTGAGATATGAGTTCGCAGAATCTACCACTAGTTCGGAATCGCGACTCACGGAGAAGATCCGGTGAGAAACTCAGTGGGTTTTATCTATAAGTTAGTTCGCTCGTCAAACTCTTAGGATAGTAACCGGTGCTTGAAGAGCCTAAAATCTGCGAGAGGGGATCTGGGGAATCCGACATGTATCGGGTGATGGCGGCTTTGCGTTGCCCTATCGCCTAAGTCTGATATGTAATTAGCGGCGGCCACGATAAGAGAGGGTTTTCGTGTCGCGCCGCTTTGTCGAAGTAGTGGAATGACTAAAACTATATTTTGTGTTTCAGGCGCGTGCCTGTACAGTATGCAGGCTCACGACGGCGCAGTGACGTCACTGGCGTACACCGCCTCGTACGTTGTGTCGGCGGGCGCTGACGAACGACTCTGCATATGGGATCGCTTTCAAGGGCATATGCTCAACTCCATACACGTGGTGCGTTTAATGATCCGTACTTCACTGGTGGTAGGACTTCATTTGAGTCCGCGCGGGTAGGTACCACTACCCCGCCTATTTCTGCCACATTTCTGAAGCAGTAATGCGTTTCGGTTTAAAGGGTGGGGCAGCCGTTGTAACTATACTTGAGACCTTAGAACTTATATCTTAAGGTGGGTGGCGCATTTACGTTGGAAATGTATATGGGCTCCAGTAACCACTTAAAACCAGGTTGGCTGTGAGCTCGTCCACCCAACTAAGCAATAAAAAAATTCCCCGCTCTGCGTGTGGACATAAAGTTAATCTCACTTTCTTTCACGAGAACAAAGCAGGAACGTTGCTTTTTATTGTGGTAGGTCGTTTCAGTAAAGTACCCACCAACCAGCATATTTGTGCCGCGAAGCTGTAATGGGTTCCGGTTCGAAGGGTAGGGCAGCTGTTGTACTAAAGAACTGAGATGTATAGGGGTCGACGGCGGCATTTACTTATTATTGATGTCCATGAGCTCCATAACCAGGAGGCCGTAAGCTAGTAAGGATCTGGGAATCGAACCCATAATCCTCAATCCAGCAATCAGGGGCGCTAAGTACTATACCACCGAGTCAGACAATCTTTGACCTTATATTATTATAATATTGCGTAGTACTTTGATGCTATTATTGACTTGAGTAGCTACTTGAGTAGTATTACTGGTGGTAGGACCTCTTCTGAGTGCGCGCAGGTAGGTACCATCACCCTGCCTATTTCTGCTGTGAAGCAGTAATGCGTTTCGGTTTGAAGGGCGGGGCAGCCGTTGTAACTATACTGAGACCTTAAAACTTATACATATTTCAAGGTGGGTGGCGCATTTACGTCATAGATGTCTATGGGCTCCAGTAACCACTCAATACCAGGTGGGCTGGGAGATCGTCCGCCCATCTAAGCAGTAAAAAAAAAAATACTTAATGGATAGGCTAATATTTATATGAGTGTTGGACTCCCTTATAATAATGACAATAAATAATAATGTTAATTATAAATGCCCAACGAAACGGGCAAGTACGGCTAGTTATATTATATTACGAACATAATGTTATATGTTAAACTTTAAATTGGCCCGCGAATCTTGTCGACTGACATCTAGTGACATCTGACACTTGCGTTTTCGGGAATTCCGATGGGGCCCGAAGACGCCCGAGTGCGACTTGTAGTGCCAGTATTTCACGCTACACATTAATGACTAATTATAATATGTTTTTTTTTAAAGGGGCTCAATTATATGAGTCGTATGCTGCCCTTAACTCACACGCTGCTCGTGATGGGCGACAGAAGCGGCATCACCGTCTACGACCTGAGCAGCGGTGACGTCATAAGACGAGTTTTACTCGGTAAGGATTGCTTCTCACTACTCCACACTAGTCGTTGGGTCTTCGTGTCTCTTTACGGGGGCACGTATCGGGCCTCGGGGCACTTTCCTCTGCCCGGGCTTGGACTCCCTGCCTAACGAGGCAGGGGTCATGATTGTGCTTGCTTGCTGTGTGATGTGGTTGAGGCGATGATTACGATGTGATGATATGATAAGTTGATAAGATGATTGGTGATGGGTGATGGGTTTGATTTACGAGATGGATGACACTAGTCGAGACGCACTGACGTACTGCAGTGGCGTAGCGGGGGGATCAAGGAGAGCGCCAAACGGTCCGCTAAACCAAAAAATGCTGGATAATTTTATTATAATTAATTTATGGAAAATGTATTTTAAATTTAGTGCGAGAGATAAACTTATAGGCAAGTTTGTCACAGGAATATGCCGTTATCCAGGCTTTTAAAAAAAGTATCTAACATGAATATTAAATCAATATAAATCAAAAATACAAACTAGACGATCAAAAAGATTCTTAAAGTGAAGCGTAAAATACATAATATAAATAGTTACTTGCGGTAAAATATCTCGTGAGTCCGGTACGGACGATGCCGCCATCTTGCTTATCATATGCAGTTGTGTCTTCAAATGTGAAGGCTAGTTGATATTTTGACCTCATATCTCAAGTTCCTCATAGAGTCCAGTAAGCGATCAGCACCAGCCCGTCTCAATTACGGCGATAACAACGAAGTTTTTTTACAAAGCCTAACCTCAATCCTGCGACTTCACATAAAGCACGCAGTTTATAGCTACGTAACTCATTGTTTTTTTTTTACAGGTCAAAGCGACGGGTGTATTTTCGTAAGACAAATATTGCCTCTGAAAGACGCTATTGTGTGCGATTACGCGAATCAATTGAGGATAGTGCGCTTCCCTCTCGTCTCTCGGCTCGATTTAAAGAGCGACTAAACATTATGTATCATAAACGAATAGCCTTCCGCAGTGTCTTATTTTATTGACGTAGCCTTTGTTAGGTAACACATAAATGGCCTTAACGTCGTGCATGAGGGCCATATTGAGCACCGCCAGTAGTCCTGGTAATGTTGAAGAATGCTAATCGTAATATTATATTTTAACTGTAATACTTTTTGCGAAGCGCGCAATGTAACGTAATTGAAAATGAGCTGACGGGCGAGGTCGTCGACCTTGGGGTGAGGGACGCGCGCCGCCTTCGTTTCAGATACCGCCTTCGACTTCGAAATATTATCGGCATACAAACGAATGATTTCACTTTAGAATAATTTTCAACTTATAATGGTTTCTAAGAGATATTTTTTTAAAACGGTGGGTATAAATATCCCAGGATTATTCAAACAAAAATACGTCTGCACTTATGTGCGCACGTAAAAGTTACTACACACATCTTTGGCGTATAATATAAATTATTTTCTAACTCAACAGATATCAACAAAAAATATTAACGTTTACCTACTCATAAATTATACATACATAAATACATCTCACATCTGGATACACAATTTTTATAACCGTAATAAATTATGTGTTACACGCTGAAAAAATAGACTCGGCTGTTTTCCAAAACACGCCACAAGAATTATAACCTCAAAAACTATAGATCAGTATAAAATATTTTTTTCTGTCTAGGGTGCAAAATTTTGACTGCGGAAACAGTTCCCTTACAGCCAGTTGTTTTAAATTTAAATTAATTACCATAAATCTCATTATAACAACGATTTTACATGAATCCATGAGGCTTAGAGCGGCCCAATTACATACGTAAACAATAGTGTATACAGTGTTAATGGAAAAAAGTTATCCGATTTAACATATTTGTAACTTAATAATATAACAATAGAAAATTCGATTATGCACGCATTAAATTTAAAATAAATTAGTTCACCTTTATGAGAGCTGATCCTGTGGAAGTTTTTAATTTTAAACTACAACAAAGCAAACTTTTGTATTGGAGCATTGTCAACGTACAAACATCTTTATTAAATTGAAATAAATCTAGATTATTAAATAGATGATAGCCTTAATCGCTCATAGTATTGTTATTATTAAATATTTACAGTAGTATTTACATATTATGTTGAAACGAGATTTTGGTTAGTTTAAATTAATTCGATTATTTATTATTTTAGTGTAATAATAATGAGTTTAGTAAGGTTTTCGCTAACAATAAAACGGACCAATTTTACTGTGTGAACACGTCTAAAGTAATTAAATTCATTTATAATAAAATAAGTAGCCGGAACGGTGCAGCAGTGCGGTGTTATGCACATCAGATCAAGGGGTATTTGGGTTAAGTAAGATTTCTCGCGACATTTCGTTTAAACGCGACGTTTAGCTTAGTACGCGACACTTCGCTTGATACGCGACATTTCGCTTAATACGCGATATTTCACTTAATACCCGATATTTCGCTTAATACGCGACATTTCATTTAATGCGCGACATTTCGTTTAATACGCGACATTTCGCTTAATACGTGATATTTCGCTTAATACGCGACATTTCGTTTAATACGCGACATTTCGCTTAATACGCGACATTTCGCTTAATACGCGATATTTCGCTTAATACGCGACATTTCGTTTAATACGCGACATTTCGCTTAATACGCGATATTTCGCTTAATACGCGACATTTCGTTTAATACGCGACATTTCGCTTAATACGCGATATTTCGCTTAATACGCTACATTTTGCTTAATATGCGAAATTTATCTTTGTAATTAAAAGTCCGTTTATTAGGTATCAGCATCAACAGTTTGATTTTTTCAATTGAAATTCAATTAAGCTTACTCCATTCAAATAACTGAAAAAGATTTTTCATAATGAAACTTTTTCCAAATTTTAAACTTTAAATAGCTCTATGTAAAGTTGCAAATGTCGCTTAAATCAAATAGGCTTTCACCTCTCTATATAATAATTATTACCCATCCAAAACTGTGTCTGCTAAAATATAAAATTAATTAACATATTTCTCATATCGATGATAGTAGGAGTTGATAAAATACAAGGTCGTTGTTTCAGTGCAATTTAGATTCGGTTCTTATGTCTCCTCGTCGCGGAGTCTACGCGATTTCCACATTTTAATAAACGTTAAACTTTAAGCGGTATTTTGGTGGTATGCAGAATAGCGTAATCAGTAAACAAACAATGCTTTTCCATTCGTTCGTCGGAATCCAGCCAAGAACGAACTACGAAAGAATAATCGGGTGGGTAGCACTGGCTCTTACGATTGAGCACGATACTCCACAGGACTAAAACCCTTATTCGTATCGTTGATGGATATGAAGCGTGTTCGCTGGCTTGTCTACCGGAATATTACGCGACAATACTTTCTCAACCATGAACATATTAAAAGAATGCTTATACATGTTTGTCTTATTCGTGTATTTAGTTCACACAGTAGTCATCCCTAGAACGAATGTATAAAGTATTTTAAATTACTTGTTGATTGATTATTTGATATAAAAGTTAGTATTTTTTTTATATATATAGTACAATAATAGTTTTATAATAGTGTGTTGCGGCTTAAAAAATAAAGGAAGCTATATGTAATTAACATAACATTTAGCGGACTTTGCGTGACACTGAAGTGCTGAGGTGCTTGAAAAAAGCACTAAAAACTTTGAACACAATTACAATTCTTATTTTATCAAATTACCGTCAGCTTTGGTCGTGTTAGCTGTAATATACGAGTATACTTTAACGTGAAAAAAAATCGAATTGTTCTATTTGACCGCACCGGATTAGTGTGCCAGTAGTTATTCACCGTTCTTGTTACTGGGAAATATTACAAAATGAATATAAGTTTTCATCTACTAAAACGAATAGGGTAATTGCAATGGTTTAGAGAGAGAGAGAGAGAGAATACACTTTATTGCACACCAACACAATTTACATTCAAAAAAAACAGTAAAAAAGCACATACATTGTACAATAGGCGGTCTTATCGCCAAAAGCGATCTCTTCCAGACAACCGTTTAATTTACAGAAATTCTGTAAAATATAAAAATATAGCAGGTATGTTGTTATATGTACAGAAATAAAAATAAAAAAAACTTTTTTACTGTAGGAAAGCGTCTTAGTTAATTATAAACAAATCAAATGATTATTGGAACAAAAAAAAATACTAAGCATAAATTAAAGTGAATTTTACTTATATGTTTATAATCTGTATATAGCTGGTATATTATTCGGTTTTCTTGAATCCTAACAATAATAAAAAAAATACTTTAGCGGTTTAATCTGTGGTTTTTACTGTCACCATATTATTTTGAACGTTTTTAATACTTTACATATAACGTGGTCACGAACAAAACTGGGCGACGGTAATAATACAATAAAAATTAAAACATGCGGGATTCGACCGCAAAAGCGATTTCAATTAAAGATATATTGGCTTTTTAATTGTTACCAGAATACGCCTAATGCGAAATTGAATTAAAACCGAAATAACCGTACCTGTTCTATTAAAACATAGCATTGTTGGTATTTACAAGATTATACTGCGCAGAACCCATAATATTGTATTATATTTTAGTTTATTATTTATCCATTTTATTGCGGTGTTTTTGATACAGTATTCAATTATAATTTCTATTGAACATATCCACTAAAATAGTACCTATAAGAATATAATAATTCTCATTCCGTCCACGCGAATGATTGCTAGTATTTTAAAGTATGCAGGAGTCGTAACTCTCAATTGTTGTTGACGCTAAGTACTTAATCAATTAGACAAATATACAATATAAAACATAGGCACATTACCTATAAATGAATAGAAATACATTATTTAAGATTTTGGAAACATCAAAATATTGACTGATGTTTGTTTAAATAAATAATGTGATAAATTAATTAAAGCAAAACACGATTGAATTATTAATGTATATTTTGAGTTACAGCGAAGAATACAAAACTGTCGATAATTCATAGATGTTAAAGTTCACAGAAAATAATAAAAAATATGTTATTAAGAAACATGACCAAATGGCCCTTTAGTTAAATTTATAGAAATAATAAATATAAATTATTATTTTTATATATACGCTAATCACAAGAAAAAAGAAAAAATGCGACTTATCTAGAAAACCTAATAAAAAAAGATTCAGAAACATTTCCCAGTAACAAACGCTTTTAGGGACAACACTTTTATTATTTTCATAACATAAATAATTTATTTACTTATTATTGTATTGATAAAGTCTACGAGAAATAAAAGTTCGTTTTTGTGAAAGAAAATAAATCCCACATGTTATTTTTCAGTATTCATTAAAGACTGGAATGTCGTGTACCCATTATTTTAAATGTAATTCTAAAAGCAAATTAAATCACAAGAATTATATCCGTCCTTATAACTTTACGATATATCGTTTCGATTTATTAACATCGTATCGTTTGCTTTACCTATTACATACCGAGTCATATATTGATTTTATGTAAAACAGCTGACGCCGCTTCCATTTGTTTGTATTTTTAATTATTTGAACTAGCTCCGAAGAGCTTTACACTAGTAGTCAATTAATTACATTATGTAAACGTATACGGAGTCCGTGAAAAATTTAACTGGAATAAATTTATTCTGTATTGAAATTAAATTAGTATGTATTTAGGTACAGCTAATACTAAAAGTAACTTTTAAAATTGAAGTTTTGCACAAAATCGTAAATTTTATTGTAAAAATTGAATGCGTCCTAAGGACAGTGTGTTTGTTTGATTACCGCTCATTTTCATACGCGAATTAATAACACACATATAAAAATACAAGTTTTTCGACAATAAATAACTAAATGTTATAGTACAAAAAAAATTATTAAAGATAAGATAAACAATTTCTTTAAGTTTTCAGGTTTAAGTACCAAAATTCTATTTTTAGGCAATCTGTGTACTATATTATATGTTTGGGAATATATCGTATTGCGTTATATTATAACATTACTAAAATACAGTAAACGTGATACATAATAATATAGTGAATTACTCAGCGTGATTTATCCTTGTTAAATTATATTAATGGTATATACATATGTTGTTTAGAGATGTAAATAATTATTAATAATGGCTCGGTTTTTTTTTATCTCTAAATATCGATGCGATTTTATGATAAGCTGGAATTCAAAACGGATTCATGAATCATGGTTGTCACCTATTTAATATATTTTTTTAGTATAAATTTATAATATAATTTTAATGACCAGCAATGAACCTTGTCATTTTTAGTTCATTGCTTATTCTTACCTTCTTCGTATCGTCTTTTGGCGTTTCTGTTTTAAAAAATGCCCATCAACAAGAGTTATTCAATAATTGGTTTATTTGTGTGTGTGTTCAACTAAATTTTATTGTAAAACAATCGGTTTTGGAATTCAAGACGTGTTTTGTTAATTAGCCTACATATGTAACAATACGATAAGATGACATTTCTAAAAGGTATGTAACTGAAGGTAATAATAATATATTCGCATCACAATTTTAAATGTAGATTCAATTAATATGCATAAAATATAATGCAATTCAGTGTTTAGAAACTTACAAAATCAATAATGAAAATGTTCATTGTATTAAGTTGTTGAGTTCCTTAGAATCCTGTGGGACGTACGAATGTCTTAGTGCTTAATTAATTAATGTAAAACTTTAAAACTGAATGCGTAAAACAATTTCATACATCTTACTTAATACCAAAATACAGTTAAGTTATTTTGCAGAAACCCGTATTCATAAACATGTAAATCATTTGAAATAACGTTTGTTGAAATTGTTTCAATCGATTCTACATATTACAAATTTTTAGCAAACTATGTACTTCAGTATTTCTAAAGATTCAAATATAATTTACTTAAAAATATCTTTATACATTATTATGAAATGAAACTCGTAAGGATAATACTTTATTTATGTACTACAAATTTTAAACGGCTAATGTTCCTGTGAACTTATTTATTTTACTTAAAACAATAACAATGTAAAATAGTCCGCCGAGACATTCCTTACTGAATATTATCATATCATAATTCATCCCAAATTAAAGTATTATAATGTTTTAAATAACATTTCTACAGTTTAAATCCGGACAAAAAATATTTTAAAAGTATTTTGTAGTATTTTAAGTTCCGAACTACTTTTAATAATTCATGCTTTATAAAACACATCAACAAGATTCATAATATTAATTTATAACTTTTTAATTTTCCATTGAGTGTTTAAATCAATCAAAAACATATCAGCTCACTTTACAAAACTGTATTATTTTAACCTGTATAGTATCAAATTTTAAGTAAATTTCCAACTTCAATTGATTAATTTTACTATTCTTTTAGAATATAGCATAGACTAGCTAGGTACACCTTAATTTGGAACTTATGCATAATTTTAAATCACAAAGTTTTTTCATGTATTAAAATAATTGAAATAAACAATCGTATTATGTAAGATAGATGTCAACATTACATATTATT